CCAGTCTTAACTTTTATAAAGAATATCTCTTTGGGTTTGAGACTTTAGTCTTTGCAACTTTAGGGATCTTATCTATTAACGAACAGCTTGTAACACTCCAAAGAGAAAGGAAAACTTGAAATCGCATAATATGACCCTTTTAAACACTGACAAGAATTAAAAAGAAAAAAATGCAATTTATAAACTTTAGTGATGATGCGACACTGCCTCGATAGTGCAAGTGACAATTCCTGTGTCAACTGTGCAGCGTGCAGCTCACTTATAGTGCAGACGCGATGTGATTTGAAGCCATTTGCATTTTGAGACAGAAAGAGAGCGCACGCGGTGATTCACTCACACTGTTTGTGAAATTATGTCTCACAGAAACTTTTTCAAATGACTTTATAAGTTATTTAATGAAGAAATATGAATTGTACCTCACCTAAAGCATTATAATTATTTCACCCGCGCCGGACAGACTGAGACGGTGCCACTGCATGTCTGCCAAACCTCTCACGGCAGGCACGTCATAAGCTTCAGATCGGTTTTTTGAGATCGGCCTTTTTAGAGACCGCCGATCAATCATCCCTATGCGATTATCGGCTGATAGTGATCGGTAGCCGATCAATCGGAGCACCCCAAATATATATATATATAACAAATTGATAAAAACACTGGAAAATTCATTTTTACTCTGAAGTTATTTTTAGAGAAATATATTTCAATACTACCGTAAAAATAATAAAAAAAGAGTAATAAAATCACATTTTACTGAAGAATTACAATACTAATATTTACATATTATTGATTAACTTCCAACCCAAGTATAACAAAATGCAAAAATAAAAGCAATGATAAATAATGATAATGAAATAGTATTAATATACCTAAAAATATGTTTGTTTTTCTTGACACAAAATCGCTCCAGTTACCAAAGAAATCTTGGTTCCCTGAGATAACGGGAACAAGCATTGCATTGAATCAAGCTTTGTGTGTGTGTGTGGGGGGGGGGGTAGACTCCATTCTCCTCCGAATACTAATACTGTAAGTTGGCATCCTGAATGGCTGCTTCATTAAGTGTGATTCAGGAGCCTGAGATCGAGGATAGGCCTGAACCCACCATCTTTCTTTGGTACATGGAAATAACTGCTGTAAAAGCCTAACACGCTGTTCTCTGGCGGGACCGTTTTGATGGCTCCCTTCACCAAGAGACACTGCACTTCGGAGGGAGAACATGAGCATTGTTGTCCTGAACCAAGGAAGGCAAATGCGAGACTTCTTCGAAGGAGGTCAGGCGTCAGCTGGAATTAGCCCTCTTCTCTCTTGACATATCAAGACGGCTTCTCAGGGTACAATGTCGCTTTGGGGCGGGGGCCCTGGCACTTGGCTAAGGGGTAGAGCTTGGTAGGCTAAGGGCCAGGTCAGTTGCACTGCACAACTCCCTAGAGACCTGCACTCCCGCGGGACCCAATGCAACAGTGCGGCGCGGGACAACACTTGATGGGCAAGTGCGTGTGTGGGCGGGTAGAGACACGTGTGTGTATGTGTGTGTGGGATGCGGGAGAATAAAATGATTTGTGGGACTTACATAAATTGCTATTTATCTATATGTCGTGGGTGGGAGCGGGACAAGATAAAATATTTTGGTAGGAGCAGGCGGGATAGAATCCTACAGGAGCGGGCGGGAGCAGGACTGAAAAATCTCTCCCGCACAGGTCTCTAGTGTGAAGCGCTGAGCCTTCAAGAGGAGGGAGCTTCTCGTAGCCCCTTTGCTCAGCACAATCAACAGAGGTGAGGGTGGCAGAGGCAGAAGAGTGGATGCGGGCTGAGTAGGGGGCACCCCATGACTTGGCGAGTTCGTCATGAACTTCTGGAAAGAAAGGTGCAAGTCTCTGATGGGGGGCTTGTTGGCGGAGCCCTGGCAGATACCATTTACCCAGGTGGCTGCGGGCGGGCTCTTTTGGGGCCGACCACTCCAAGCCGAGCTCTTTAACAGCCTTTGTGAGGATGCGGATGAGCTCTTTATCCACACTGGGCCGTACACCACCAGATTTTTTGGGCGGAAGGGAGCCGGGAGGGGCGGGACTGCCTTCTTTGAAGAAAGCGATCCGCAAGCGTAGCAAGGCGAGACTCGCAATGAGAGCAGACCATCTCCACGAGTGCTGCCTCAGCGTGAGCACGGCCCAGGCATTCAGACTTTTTTTCCTCAATGGAAAGCATATTTACTGTTTGAGTCATTCCCTGTCCCCTATATAGTGCACTACGTGCCATTCACTGAACAGAAAATACTAATTCTGTGGACAAGTGACCGATTTCAGCCGCGGCTTCAGCGTCTGTTTTATAGTGTAGGGGACGGGCGCTTCGGATTCTAGAGAGCATTTGATTGGACAGAAAGTTAGATGAGAAGCTTAAGTACGATGTGATGTCAAATAAATCGTTGAGCCGTTTTGGCGGAAGTGACGAACTGCAAGCTTTGAATGCTTATATCTTCTAAATGCGAATTTTGTCACTGTTTTGGAGCACACTGCCTTATAGATAACCTTAAGACTAACATATTGATACTAACACCCAAAAAACTTTAATTTTGATTTCATGGGGACTTTAAGATAAAGCATTAAAACATTAGACTGATCTGAATATTAGTAATAAACCTGTCATCTGTCAAGTGCTGGAGTGTGTTTGCGTTCTCGTCTCCCTGGAAAACTCTCTTCAGCAGGTCCACATGCTGAGGATTATTGACACCAAACCCAGAGGCCAAGATCTCAGCATGGACGTTATACTCATTAATGTAGGTCTTCAGACCAGGAACACGTGTCATGCGCACCTGTGCGAGGAGAACAAATGCAGAAAAGAGCACCAGAATGTCTTCAGACTGGACCAGCAAAACCTTGTAAGGCCTCTGATGCAAACATGTTGAACACCTACCATAGGATCAACCCAGACAGTATTTCCCACACTCATCACAACCCTGGCCTGATGCAGCTTCCCTTTGATCTTCTGACTGATGGCTCTGGTCACCTGAAAACAGACATTTTTCTTTTCTAAAACAGACGTTTATGTACAAACTGAAGAAATGTTTTCTTTCAGAACGACTACTGAGACCTTCGGGTTCCAGACCACCTCCCCGTCGACGGGCTGCGCTCTGCACAGGATGATCTCAACAGCCTGGCCGGGCAAATCCTGGAACTGAGGAGGAAGTTGGAGAAGCTGGTGTGACTTCACTTCCTGTGTGCGGCCCTCGTCTATGAAGCAGGCAGTGACGCTGCTGAACAGCTGCTCTCCTTTTTCCGGCACCTCCATAACACGCACCCTAGAACCAATCAAACAATTATTTCCCATCAACTTAAGTTTTATTTGGGCTTATAAATATGAACATAGTTTGTTACTCAGACTCAGGCAGTGCGCTGCATGAGACAAAAAAGTAGCCAAAACCACAGCATATAGTCGCTCTTTAGTGTAGATTAGGGCTGCACGATTAATCGCATGCGATATTTAACGCGCATCTTATCAGTAAAGCCGGTTCTGTAATCAGCGGTAAATCTCCATCACCTACGGGCTTTAACATTGAGCAGC